CCCGGACCGGCCGCCACCTGGCCACGTTCACTCGTGCGCCAGGGTCTAGTCTGTACACCCTCACCACTGCGTCGCGCTTCGCCCCTTTGTCTCCCCAGTTACACGCATCTGCTCAGGTAGCTACCCAGTGTGAGTGTCGCCGGCTGTCGCACGACACTCTCCTGTGGCACCACCGCCTTGGTCACCCCTCCCTGCCTCGCCTGCGTAGCATGCACTCTCGCTTCCTGGTCTCTGGTCTTCCCAGGTCTCTGCCTGCCCTCCCTCCCTTGCCTGCGCCGCCCTGCATTCCTTGCGTCGAGGAGCGGCAGCGCGCCGCTCCTCACTCCTCCACGTTCCCTCCCACAGAGGCTCCACTGCAGACCCACCTGGACATGTGGGGCCCAGCCCGCGTCTGTGGACAGGGCCACGAGCGGTACTTCCTGCTGGTTGTCGACGACTACACGCGTTACACCACGGTCTTCCCCTTGCAGCGCAAAGGGGATGTCCCTGATGTTTTGATCCCCTGGATCTGCGCTGCTCGTCTCCAGCTCCGCGAGCGGTTTCAGTCAGACTTTCCTGTCCTGCGTCTGCACTCTGACAGAGGTGGTGAGTTCTCCTCAGACCTCCTGGTAGCCTTCTGTGCAGAGCACGGCATCCGCCAGACTTTCACGCTTCCGGCCTCTCCGCAGCAGAATGGGGTTGTTGAGCGCCGCATTGGCTTAGTCATGGAGGTCGCTCGTACCTCCATGATCCATGCGGCTGCCCCCCATTTTCTGTGGCCGTTTGCGGTCTGGTACGCCGCGCATCAGCTCAACCTTTGGCCCCGTGTCTCCTTCCCGGAGACCTCGCCCACACTGCTGTGGACGGGGAAGGTTGGCAACGCGTCGCGTTTCCGGGTCTGGGGTGCTCGTGCTTTTGTCTGCGATACCGCTGCGGACAAACTCTCCCCTCGCGCCATTCCTTGCGTCTTCCTTGGCTTTGTCCCTGACGCGCCTGGCTGGCAGTTTTACGACCCTGCCTCGCGCCGTGTCTTTGCGTCTCAGGACGTCACCTTTGACGAGTCGGTCCCCTTTTACCGCCTCTTCCCCTATCGCACTGCTCCTCGCCCCCTCCCGCCGCTCTTTCTCGCCCCAGCTCCTCCCCAGGTAGACTCCCTCCCTGCGCCAGGCCCTGCTCCTTCAGGTGTTTCTCAGGTAGATCCTCCCGTCCCTGCGCCTGTTGAGGTCACTGGTGACTCCGGTTCTGGTGGGAGTGGTGTTGTCCCTGGGGGTGCGGAGCTTGGGGGTGCGCAGCGTGGGGGTGCTGAGTCTGGGGTTGCTAAGCGTGAGGAGCCTGAGGGTGTAGAGCCTGGAGGTGCTGAGCCTGCGCGTGAGGAGCCTGGAGGTCCTGAGCCTGGGGGTGTTGCGTCTGGGGGTGCTACGCCTGGGGGTACTGAGTCTGGGGGTGAGTCGCCTGAGGGTTCTGAGACTGTTGTTACGCGGTCTCCTTGGAGTAGCCGTCTTCGTCCGCGTGTGCCTCTCGCCTCCCAGCAGCTGCACGACTGGTACGGTCGTCGTCAGCGTCGCGCTTCTGCGCCTCAGGGCTCTACTGCTGGGGGTTCTTCTGCTGGCGTCACTGGAGCTGGGAGTGGTGCTGGTCCTTTGCCTGCTGGAGGTGCTGGTGTCGCTGGTCCCGGAGGTGCTCGTACTGGGGGTACTGGAGCTGCTGGGGCTGGCGGTGGTGTGTTTGAGGGTACTGCTACTGGTGGCACTGCGGTTGGAGACCCTGGGCCTGGAGGTGCCGGTTTAGGGTTTGCTGCACCAGGAGGGGCTGGAGCTACTGAGGGTGCTGGAGGTGCTGGAGGTACTGGAGCTGCTGAGGGTACTGGAGCTGCTGGAGCTGCTGGAGCTGCTGAGGACGCTGGAGCTGCTGGAGGTACTGGAGCTGCTGAGGGTACTGAACCTGCTGGAGGTGCTGGAGCTGCTGAGGGTGCTGGAGCTGCTGGAGGTGTTGGAGCTGCTAAGGGTGCTGGAGCTGCTGGTGCTGGTGGCACTGCACAGCCGCGCCTGTTCTTTGCTCCGCCGTCTCCCTCATCTCTGCCACCGCCTGACTCCGTACTTTGCCAGGTTCTTAGCCTCCCGTCGTCTTCTGGTCTTCCGTTACAGCCTGGCTCACCTCTGCCTGCTCCTTCTCCTTACACTGAGCAGACAGGGGGCCTTGCTGAGCGTCGTGAACCTGCGTTGCGTCCTGTCTCACCTGTCCGTTCTGGTCATTCCAGTCATCGTGTTCCTCGTCAGCGTCAGCCGGCTGTCCCCAGCCCTTCCCTTGTAGTCCGTCGTCCTTCCTCTCCTCCGCAGCATGTTCCTCTGCCGTCTCCTCCTTCGTCTTCTCTGCCTGTCGTTACGGAACCTGAGTCTGACCGGTTTCGTGCTGAGCACCCTACTGTCACGCGTCTGCTAGCCACTGTTGTTACTGACCCGTCGTTTGAGTCTACTGCTGCATCTGCCTTTGTCGCTGAGCTGGTTGACTTTGCTGCTGCCTGTCGTCTAGACTACGCTGCTAGTCTTGTTGCTGAGTCTGAGTCTGTCTATCCTCCGTCCGTCGGGGGTGCGTGTGTTCTTGGCACGGACGTCCTTGAGGACAGGCAGGAGGACCTTGAGTGTCTTGCCGGCGCTCCGCCTCATCTCGCAGCCATGCTGCTTGCCCCTGAGGGAGACCCGGATGCACCAGACATCCCGACCCCGCGCTCTTACGCTGAGGCGGTCGCGGGTGACTACTCCTCTCAGTGGCAGACAGCCATGGACGCAGAGATGGCATCCTGGAAGTCCACAGGCACCTACGTTGACGAGGTTCCCTCTCCTGGGGCGAACATCGTCAGTGGCATGTGGATTTTCAGGGTAAAGCGGCAGCCAGGTTCTCCGCCTGTCTTCAAGGCTCGTTACGTTGCTCATGGTTTCAGTCAGCGAGAGGGAGTTGACTTCTTCCAGACTTTCTCCCCCACCCCGAAGATGACCACTCTTCGGGTGATGTTGCACGTTGCCGCTTAGCGTGACTACGAGCTTCACTCGCTTGACTTCATCACAGCTTTCTTACAGGGCAGCGTAGACGAGGAGATCTGGTTGCGCCGCCCACCCGGCTTCTCTGGGTCGTTCCCTCCTGGTACCCACTGGAGCCTCCGGCGGCCGGTCTACGGTCTCCGCCAGGCGCCCCGTGAGTGGCACGACACACTGAGGACGACACTTGCAGCTCTTGGGTTTGCTCCTTCGACTGCTGACCCGTTGCTGTTTCTGCGCACCGACACTTCGCTGCCGCCGTTCTACATCCTCGTGTACGTCAACGACTTGGTCTTTGCCACTGCTGACACTGAGGCACTAGCCCTGGTGAAGTCGGAGCTGCAGAAGAGACACACGTGCACAGACCTGGGTGAGCTGCGCAGCTACCTTGGCTTGCAGATCACCCGGGACAGAGCACGCCGCACCATCACACTGACTCAGTCACACATGATGCAGCAGGTCCTTCAGCGCTTCGGCTTCACTTGGTCCTCAACACAGCACACTCCTCTGGCTACAGGTCACTTGCTCTCGGCTCCACCTTCGGACGAGTCCGTAGAGCCGAGTGGTCCTTACCCAGAGCTAGTGGGCTGCCTCATGTAACTGATGACCTGCACTCGTCCTGACCTTGCGTACCCTCTTGGCCTTCTGGCTCGCTACGTGGCTCCTGGTCTGCACCGAAATGTGCACATGGATGCTGCTAACAGGGTACTGCGCAACTTGTGCAGTACATCGGGCATGGGGCTCGTGCTTGGAGGGCGGAGTCCAGTTGTCCTCACTGGGCAATCAGACGATTCTTGGGTTGACGACCAGGCTACATAGTGGTCGTCACAGGGTTACACGTTCAGCCTTGGCTCCGGCTCTGTTTCTTGGCGGTCTACCCGCTCGTTTTCTGTTCTCAGCTCCAGTTGTTAGGCTGAGATCTATGCCACAGCCATGGCTGCACAAGAGTTACGCTGGCTCACCTACCTGCTGACCGACCTGGGAGAGCGGCCTCCTTCTCCTCAACTTCTGTACGTAGACAACAAGGCCGCCATTGCCTTGTGTCAGGAGCACAGACTGGAGCACAGAACGAAGCACATCGCTCTGCGTTACTTCCTGGCTCGAGAGTTGCAGCAGCGGGGTCAGCTTCGCCTTGCTCACGTGGCCACTGGGGCCAACACTGCTGATATATTCACCAAGGCACTTCCGTCTGGTGACCATCAGCGCTTTTGTACTTTGTTGGGCCTTGTGCCTATGTTTCCACACTTGCTGTAGTCTCTGCTTGTACTGTGATCTATATATATATACCTGCGTGCTTTCTCTTGCTAGCTAGAGATGGACTGGCCTTGTGGCCGTTTGCTTGAGCTTAGTGTGTGTGGTGACGTTGTGATCCACCCTGAGCTGTGTTTTGTTTCTTCTCTTGACTGGACTTGTGACCATTGCTTGCTCTGGCTATCCCCCATTTCGCCTATGGGGGTGTGTCAAAACATATGCATATCATTATCTAGGCTATATTGGAGCTAGCCTTAGGGGGTACAGAAACTTTCTCGACACTCTAGCCTTGTACCCCAACCTTCACCTAATCTCATCATTCTTGCCTTAGTTCTTAACATGTGGAACGTCAGTTCTGGTAAGGACTATCATGCATACCGTACGATATTGTGTCGCGTCTGTTGTATTATAGCCCCCACCCACCTAACCTAACACCGAACAGGGATAAACTTGTGCGCTCACACAACCCACCGAAACTACTCCTGCTTCTTCAGGTCACCTCACTTCGCGTCCTGCTCATCCATCAGAGGCCTTACATGCAATCACGGAAAAATGCCTCATGAAGTCATTATCACCCCTGCCATGTCATGTCATGTCATGTATTTCCCATGACTCATCATCACCCAATGCTGCCATCGTAAAGGAGAATCTCCACACACGCACCACACCACCCTATGAAAGGACACCTGCTTCTTCAGTCTCACTCCTCCTGCTCCGTTTGCTCGCAACAATCACCACTCAGTAGTATTCAGGGCTGCTGTTGCAAGACATGAACCTCCGCACCTGCACGACCTTATTAAATGACACCTGCTTCCTCAGCTTCGCTCCTCCAGTCCCGTTCGCCGGGGACAAGCACGACTTGATAGGGCTCCTAGCACCCCTCCCATGCGCTGCCATCGCAGCATAACCCATCCGTGCCCCCAAGGGGCCCCTAAAGGAGCCTCCGTCGACCGAGTTTCTCCGCATGAACCGCCGGCCATTCCCTGCCTGCACCCTCACTCCTGTCTCCTCCAAAGCTGTTGACCCCTCCACGCAATCCGCACTCTGGGACCGCGTAAACGCCCGTAGGGTCTGGTTTGTACCCGTTCCCGCCTCGCTCTCTTCCGGAGAAGCAATGAGAGGGTGAAAGGGTGAAAAAGAGGGAGAGGCAGTGTGCAGCACCCCTCTTGCTTGAGGGTCATTTCTTCGGTTAGTGATGGCGGTGGCCCCTGGGGTGGCAGTGTTGTGGAGGCTGGGAGGGATGAGGTGGTGTGAGGGAGGGTAGAGGTCGGTTGGGCTACTGTTGGGATTCAATTCAGAAACACTTCGTTGGTGCCTCTGATTCTGTCCCCGGACCATACCTGTAACCATACCCATCTCTATACCACTGCCCGCACCTGTCCCCATACCCATACCTGCCCCCGTACCTCCCCCCATGCCTGTCCCCATTCCCATACCACTGATACTTGAGGGTGACTCGTGGTAGGACACGGAAGAAGGGGAGATATGGATAAGGCCATGGGAGGGGTAGCAGTGGGTGCAATCTGGGCAAGAAGCGACTGAGTGAGGGAGATTTGGAGAAGGAAGGGGGTCCTGGAAAGAGGACGGGGGGAGGGGGATGGGGAGGCGGATAGAGGAGGCGCGGTGAAAGTGGCGGGACGAGGAGGGGGAGAGCCTGGGGGAAGAGGTGGGGGAGCGCGGAGGCTTGGAGGGGGAAACGGGGGGACAGGTGGGGGAGGGGGCGGAGGGGAAGGGGGAAGCGCAGGTGGGGGAGTGAGTGGGGGAGGAGGCGAGCAGGGCGAAAGGGGCAGGAGGGTGAAGCGGGGGGGTGGTAATAGGGGAAGGGCGGGAGAATATGGCGGGGATTGGCTTGTGTTGGCTTGAAGGGGAGGAGGATGGAGAGGAAGTTGGGGCGTGAGGGGAGGATGGCCGTGGGACGGGGTTGGCGGAGGGTTGTTGGTGGGCAGCGGGGGGTGCATGAAGGGAGGCGGAAGGGGAAGGCATGCGGGCGTGGATGGGGATGGAGGAGGCGGGAGGGTGGGGGGGCGCATGGGCGGAGAATGAGGAGTGGGATTGGGGGGAGGGTGGCGGGGAGAGCATAGGAGTGTTCCCCTTTGAGGCCGCATGTGCCGCAGCAGCTTCAATTTGCCCAGCAGGATTCAACCGCCCCCTTTCTCCATCAGCACCCTCGGTATAAGCACTCTCAGCAGCCTCGTTATAAGCACTCTCGTTATAAGCACCCTCGTCAAAAGGACTCGCATGATCAGAGTCAGCTCCGGCCGCGGAGCTATCAAACGACACCTGCAGCTGCTTCAGCCGCTCCTGCACCTCTAACGAGAACCTCTTTATCGCGGATGCACCCCCAGGACCACCCCCGGCGCCGCTGCCTCCATTCTTAAAGCTGGATCTCTCCTTAAAGCTGCTGTTCGCGCTGTTGCTGTTACTGCTGCCGCTGCGAGCACCGCTTCGCTGTAAGCTGCCTCGTTGTAAGCCGCCTCGTTGTAAGCTGCCTTGCCGCTCGCGAGGAGAAATCCTTCCAGCAGCTGCACTTCCAGTGGGGGACGCGACGCGGTGTAAGCTCCGGTTTCCCGCGCTTCCGTTCCCCCCGGTCGGCTGTGCCCCGCCGCCCAATCCGCGGAGCATTTCCGCCGCCGCCGCCACCAGCTGCGCCTCTGCGGACGGCGCAAGATCTGCGGAACCTCCTCGTTTTGCGCCTTTCCGCTGCACGGGCCGCGCCATCACCGCTCCTTCGTCGTCGTCGTTGTTGTCAATTTTAATGTTACCGTTACGGTTGTCGTCATCGTTAGAAGTGTTAGCGAAACCGTCAACGTTACCGGAACCGTGAAGGACGCTCCTTATGGGATTACCGGCTCTATGCGCGGCGTTACGGGGAGATATCGTTGCTGCGGAAGCGCCGGATTGCGGGGAAGCTGCGGACCAAGGGGAAATGTCCTCCCCATTGGCGGAAGTTCTTTGCACGGTGAGACTCCGCCGAGGCGGAAGGATGTGACCGGAAACCCCACTCATGTCGGGGGAACGCGCATTGGCGGAGGCGGAACGCGCCATACGCCGCCCGGCAGGCGCGGGCGAATGCGGCGAGGCGGAAGAGGCAGGGAACGCCGCGGAAGACGTGGTGGATGCGGAATGAGGACGAGCCGCGGAAGAGGTAGCGGGAGAAAGGGGGAAGGCGGAAGCAAGAGAAGCTGTATCAGAGGCCGGCGCCGGTTTGTCATTCGGGGCTGGTAATGGCTTCGGCGAGGTAGAAACGGATGCTTCCGCGCCGAGCCCTATACCAGCCTCGAAGGACAAGTGAAAGCCTGCAAACTTGGACACGTCATCATCCACGTGTCCACCAGCGGCCGCTGACACCTCGTCAGTTGAGAAGGGTCCCTTCTCCGCATTCGACGGCAATTCTGGTACACAGATGGCGCGTGAGCCGCGGATTTCCCCGGATCCTGCTGCTTTTTCCGGGGAAGTTCGGCCGCCGCGTCCTGCTTTTTCCCGCGTGCCTTCCGCGGCTCCTCTCTCTGCCGGTGCGGATCTGGCGCTTTTATCACCTCCGCAGATCTCGGCGGGAGCTTTCTCCCACGACATCGACCGCCTCTCGCCCCGCGGGCGGCGGAAGCGGAAAAGGTCGGCGGAAGAGCGCGCAGAGGGGGCGTTCGCGGAAGCGCCTGGTTCGCGGGCTGAACTTCCCCCTCCGCGCAAGAGGCGGAGAAACCCGCCCGCACATTGCGCCTTTCCCTTCCGCGCATTCGTTAGCGTGCGCGGTGATTCCGCCCATCCGTCGGCGTTGATTGCTGCCTCCGCTTCCGCGCATTCGTCCGCGTGCGCGGGGTCATCGCCGCCCCACTCCTCGTCCATGTCCTTCGACGAGGTAGCCTTCCGCCGAACGAGTTCCGCGTGCGGGCTGCGCACGGCGGAAGGCGATGGCGGAAGCCAGGGGGAAGTGTTTTCCGTTGATGTGGGTCCAAGGCCGCGCTCGCTGTCGGGGAGCGACTCGGATGTATCTTCGTCCGCGTATCGTGACATTATTCTCGTAACTGTGTAGAAGAATGAGAAAACAGCTAGTTCGGTAATAGTAAAGGACGGTGACAGAGATCTCCGAGCAATAAATTGGCTGCCGCAAGGGCTCATTTTCCTTTTGAGAGCACGTGCGCCACTCGGCCGGGCCTGGTGACACTCAAATAAAACCGGGTAAAAGCCGGGTAAAATCGTGTCCACACACCGGTGGTGATACAGTATGATGTGAGAGAAGAGACAAGAAGGTCTAAATTCACAATGCGCTTCGATGCAGCTGGGCTTGGGCATCGTGTGAATGGTTACGCGGTAAGATAATAGCCGCATCACGACCGCTAGCGAACGACACTCTAGGTTTTGCCAGCCCGAGGCGACAGAACAAAAATCTCATGTTGCAGCATTGTTGAGCTCACTTGTTGGTCAACTGCGATCCACATGGCAATTTGGCAAGTACTGTACACATGATGCTCAGCCCCTGCACCGAGCACCCGGTCTGCACCCGTGGGTTCTGTGCGATGGCGTTACCCGCACTTTACAAGGACCTCGAGCAAGTGCAGTGATTGGAACCAATACTAACCACAGAAACCGAAGTTTGACTGAAGAGATTGAAGTCTAGGGTTTAGGGTGAGTTACAAATATTTTTTTATAAGCCCTTTTTATAAGCCCTTTTTATATAAGTCTAGGGTTTAGGGTGCGAATTGACGAACAATTTGCGAAATAAATTAACCGTTTCTACGTCTAAAAAGTAAGAAATCTTTAGGAAACCCAAACGAGTAACACGTGTATGTCCCCTGCCATCGAGAGGGAGGAGCGAGTCCTGACGAAAGTCAACCATCCATCCAGGAATTCGCTGCCCAGGTTTCATTGCCAAACCACAGTGCACGACTTCGTTTTCGTGGGAAGTGGGCAAGGGATGCCGGAGTTTGTGAAAGTTTCGCAAGGGATACACAAAGGCGCGAACATTTCAACAATTCTTCAACGATTACAGTTCTGTAATGCTATGCGACCTCGGTCAAGTTAAAGGTCAACAACAACTATGGTGCGCGGACTGGTCTCTGCTCGGCAGAGTGGACTCGTCAACGCACTCAAGGTTTGACAAGCCGACAAACAAACAGTGAATGTCGCTCGCTCGATACAGGTCCCTCCGCAACAACGTAAAACATAATCAGACGCGAAATGAAATACACAGGCACACATATATGACCTCTATGATTGCAACCAACCCATGCATAGAGTTGCAAAACAATAGGGGTGTGATGGATGAATCTGTGCTTGCAATGTAATTTGCATTACAAGGCAGTTTACAAGGAAGAAAGTAGAATCTACTGAACGCATAGTACAACAGGCCCTGGTCTGAACGTGTGGTTACTACATTACAGCATTAGTTTAATGAAAATACTAAAACAGTATTCACTTGCCGCTGGATGAGTGAGGGGAAAGGGAAGCAGCAGACTGGTACGAAGGGGCTGGTGCCACCTAACCAGTAAAGGCAAAAATAAAAAAAGGGGTTAATAAACCACGCACACACGCACTCGGACTCGTGCTCACACACAGACGCTCATACCATCTTTCCCTCCCCCACCCCCACCCCCACCCCAACCCCCCCCCCCCCCCCCCCCTCCCCCTCCCCCTCCCCTCCCCCCCTCCTTCCCCCTTATCCCCTCCTATCCCCCGGCCCCTCCCCCCACACACACGCGCGTGAACGTGTGAGCGCACACGCTCAAATCAAACAAACAACAGAAAAAGTACCACCATTATGTTTCGTCAGATGATATGCATGCATGTCATGTCATGTCACACCTTGTCATGTCATGTCATGTCACGCCTTGTCATGTCATGTCATGTGAAGTCACGCCTTGATGTCACGTCTTGTCATGTCATGTCATGTTATGTCTTGTCCACATGTCACGCCTGTTTGACGATCTCACCCCCCAACCAACGCTATCACTGCCCAAGAAGGAAACCTTTCCGCTCGCGTCTCATGCTGCTCACCCATCAGCAGGCTAACTGCCATGCTAGTAACTTGTCTCATGAGTCATCATCACCCCTGCCATGTCATGCTGTGCCATGCCATGTCATGATCCTTATCCCTCGTCATCAACCAATGCTGGCATCGCATATGGGAACCTCCTCACGCACACCACACAATTAAACGACACCTGCTCCTGCTTCGCTCCTCCCTCCCATCCAATGTTAGTCAGGCGTCACTAGCCCAGCCTCCCATACCGATACACTGTCATGTCTACTTCATGCCACATCATCGCCCAATGCTGGCATCGCAGGATGGTAAAGCTCCTCACACACACCACACGGTTAAACAGCCCCTCCCTCCATCATCAGCTTTGCTCCCATCCCTTGTTACTCAGCCCGTCACTAGCCCACCCCTCCCCCACCGGTACACTGTCTATCTCATGCCATGTCATCACCCAATGCTGGCATCGCAGGACGGGAACCTTCGCGCGTGCACCACACAGTTGTACGACACCTATTTTTTGAGGCGCCCAAAAAATTAACGACACCTGCTTCTTCACCTCCAGTTCCATCCCATGCCGTTCGGCCATCAATAGCCAAGCCTCCCATGCCGGTACGCTGTCTACCTCGTGTCTCATCTCATCCTCGTTGATCAATGCTCGCATCACAAGACAGGAACCTTCGCACACGAGCCACGCGGTTAAACGACACCTGCTTCTTCAGCTTCGTGCCTCCCATCCCATGCTAGTGGTCATGCCACCTCATTGACCAATGCTGGCATCGCACGAGGGGAACCTCCTCATGCGGACCACATGGTTGAATGACACCTGCTGCTTCAGCGCTGCTCCCATCTGCTCCCATCTGATCCTGGCCAGCCGTCCAGCCTCCCATGCCAGGCTTCTTAAGCACTGCTCCCATCCCATGCTAGTGGACATGCCACCTCATTGGCCAATGCTTGCATCACAGGACGGGAACCGTCGCACGCGCACCACGCGGTTAAAAGACACCTGCTTCTTCAGCTTCGTGCCTCCCACTCCATTCGCCGGGGACAAGCACGACTTGATAGGACTCTTCGAACCTCTCTCCTGCCCTCCCATCCGCATTCCCAACTCAGCAGCACTACCAGAGCTAGCCCGGCCTCCCAGCATCCCCGCATCAACCGAGTTTCTCCGCGTGACACGCCTCGCTCGCACCCTTTCGCCTGTCACATTCACAGCCACTCTCCCCTCAAAATCCGCACTCTGGGACCATTCGAACACCCCTTCGATCTGCTCCATACCCATACCCATTCCCGCCACAATCTGTCCCGGTGGAGCGATGAGAGGGTGGGAAGGTGAGGAAGGGGGGTAGGTAGCATGGAATGGGTCATTCGCTGGGGGGTTGTTTTCTGGGGTGGTGGTGGCGCCGAATGGGATGGTAGAGTTGGGCAGGTACGGAGGGATGAGGTTGTGTGCAGGGGGGTAGAGATCGGTGGTGTCACTCTCAGGAGTTGAGTCAGCGGCAGATCTGTGATGCTGCTGGTGATCATGCCCTTGGAATATACCCATACACATACCAGTACCCATACCCATGGCTGCACCCGTTCCTGCCCCCATACCTCCCACACTGGTTCCCATACCTGCCCCCATGCCTGTCACCATACCTGCCCCCATACCTGTCCCCATGCCATCGGTATGTGAGGCAAACTTCTGGTGGGGCAGGGAGGAGGGAGAATGTTTGCTGAGGTCGAGAGATTGGTGCCGTGCGTGAGAGGGCTTTGGGGAAGGAAAGGGATTCTGGAAGGAGGACTGGGATCGGGGGAGGGGGGAGGCGCGGGGGGAGCGGCGGGACGAGGAGGGGGAGAGCGCTGGCGAACGGGTGGGGGAGCGCGGAGGCTTGGATGGGGACATGTGGGGGCGTGTGGGGGAGGGTGCGGAGGGGAAGGAGGTTGAGGGGATTGAGCAGGGGAAGGTGGGGGATTGGGCGGGGGAGGAGGCGAGCAGGGGGAAGGCGGTAGCAGGCTGATCTGGGGGAGTGGTAAGGGGAGGGGGACGAGAGAATATGGCGGGGACTGGCTTGCGCTGGCGCGAGGGGGAGGCGGAAGGGGAAGACACTAGGGCGCGGGGGGAGGCGGATGGGGGGGCGTGGGGGGAGGACGACCGGGGAAGAGCGTTGGGGGAGGCTGGTGGGGCAAAGGTGCGGGGGGAAGCGGGGGGTGCGCGAAGGGAGGCGGAGGGTGAAGGCATACGTGCGTGGGGGGAAGCGGAGGGGGAAGGCATGCCGGCGTGGGGGGAGGCGGAAGGAGAAGGAAACCGGGCGCGACGACGGCGGAACGGGGAAGAAGCGGGTGCGCCGAGGGGGGAGGGGGAGCGGGGAGCGTGGGGCGCATGGGGGGAGAACGAGGAGTTGGATAGGGGGGAGCGCTCTTGAGAGGCGGAGGAGGCGGGGGACGGTGAGGGCAGAGGCGCATACCCCGCTGAACCCGCTTTCTGCCCTTCCCCTTCGCCATAAGCACCCTCGATATAAGCACTCTCAGCGCCCTCGTCATAAGGGCTCGCGTTATCGGGGTCAGCTTCGGGCGCGGAATCATCAAACGACACTTGCAGATGCTTCAGCTTCTCTTGCACCTCTATCGAGAGCCTCCTTATCGCGGATGCACCATCGGGACCACTTCCCCCGCCGCCGCCGCTGCCGCCGCCGCCGTTATTAGCGTTAGATCTCTCCTTATAGCTGCTGTTCGCGCTGCTGCTGTTGCTGCTGCTGCCACTGCGGACACCGCCTCGCTGTAAACTGCGTCGTTGTAAGCTGTCTCGACTCTCGCGAGGAGAAACCTTTCCAGCAGGAGGGATTCCGCGTGGGGAAGCTGCGCGGTGTAAGTTGCCCGAGCCTCCGAT